AAGGTTTACAACATTTTTAAATTTAGAAAAAATTTAAAATTGCATTTATGTGTATAAAAATATAGCAAAATATTAACAATGGGTGAGACTAAGTGAAGGGTAGGTATATGTGTGGTCATTTTACTATCCTTATAGCTCTTTTTTTTTTTTTTGGTATCACCGATAGAACCCAGAGCCTTGCACATGCTAAGCAAGTATTGTACTACTGAGAAATACCCCAGCCCTTTTATATTTTTATTTTGAGACAGAGTCTTTCTAAACTGCCCAAGCTGGCGTTGAATTTTCAATCCTCCTGTCTCAGCCTCCTGCGTACCTGGGGTTATAGGCATGTGCCACATCACCTGCAGCTTTTCTGTAGGTTTGAAAAGTTTCAAACGAAAACATTTTAAGGAGCAAAAAGAAGTATCACTCTTGGGTGATTTTTTTTTTTTTTTTGGTACCGGGGATTGAACTCGGGTCCTTGTACTTGTGAAGCAGGTGGCAGAACCACTGAGCTAAATCCCCAGGCTACTCTTGGGTGATTTTTGAGATAGGTGAGATTGGAGGTTCCTCTTCTCTTTTTCCTCTTCTTCCTTCTCTTTCTCCTCCTCCCCCTCCTTTTGCTCCTTCCTCTGCCTTTTCTTCCTTTTCTAGCATTGCAGATTGAACCCAGGCCCTTCACACTGAGCTGCATCCTCACCTCCCTCTCCCTTTTTCTCAGACAAGGTCTCACTGAGTTGCTAAGATGCACGGGCTGGGCTCAAACTTGCAGTCCTGCTGCCTCAACCCCATAGTGCTGGGATTGCAGGTGTGTTGTGTGTGGAGTGGGAATGAGAGTTGGGGAGACAAGCAAAGAAGACAGACACAGCTCAGGGTGAGAAGGGCAGTGAAAAAGGCAGGGACTGGGACTGGGGAAACCCAGAAGGAAGTATTTCTTTCTCGGATCATTAAGAAAGTCTCAGGGAGGGCGCCGACCTGAGGCGGGCTGGCTCAGTACAGCCGAGCAGCGGGGGAAGATGGCGGCTGCGTTTCCACAGCGGGGCGGGGACTGTGGAGCAGCTGCCCAAGAAGGACATAATCAGGTTTCTGCAGGAGCACGGTTCAGATTCGTTTCTTGCAGAGCATAAATTATTAGGAAACATTAAAAATATGGCTAAGACAGCTAATAAGGATCACTTGGTTATGGCCTATAACCATCCTTTTGAAACTAAGCGTTTCAAAGGTACTGAAAGTGTAAGCAAAGTGACCGAGCAAGTGAAAAATGTGAAGCTTAATGAAGAAAAGCCCAAGGAAACCAAGACTGAAGAGACTCTGGATGAGGGTCCACCAAAATACACAAAATCTGTTCTGAAAAAGAGAGTTAAAACCAACTTTCCCCAAAAGGGAGACATTGTTCACTGCTGGTACACAGGAACGCTACAGGATGGGACGGTTTTTGATACTAATATTCAAACAAGTTCAAAGAAGAAGAAAAATGCCAAGCCTTTAAGTTTTAAGGTTGGAGTGGGTAAAGCTATCAGAGGATGGGATGAAGCACTCTTGACTATGAGTAAAGGTGAAAAAGCTCGATTAGAGATTGAACCAGAATGGGCTTATGGAAAGAAAGGACAGCCTGATGCCAAAATTCCACCAAATGCAAAACTCGTTTTTGAAGTAGAATTAGTGGATATTGATTGAAACAGCAGTATTTCAGATCTGAAGACATCAGAAAGTGATTAAAACTTGGCCTTGAAACTTACGTATCTAGAACTTGTTACTATTGTAGTCAACTGGAAAATTCAGAGTTAAGTTAAATTTACTTGATCCCAATTTTTGAGAAATGTAACCCTTTATAAGTCCCTAAAGTCTAAAATATATTACTATAGCTGTGTGAAATACTGGTTAAGGAGAACTGTATTTCCTTTTACCTCATGTTGTAAAACTGAAAAGTTCAATTAAAAAATATCCACTGTCAAAAAAAGAAAGTCTCAGGGAGAAAAAATATGTTTTCTGGAAGATTTATCTCCCTAGAGAAATTGTTTACTGTATTTCCATGGAGTAGTATTTGTCTTCATGAAGGAAGCCCCACCCAAGTACAAACTAAAGGATCTGGCTTAATCTTCTATTGGCAAATATTTGGAGAAAGTTCTGGCATGACCTGGGCTTGTCATAACTTGTAACTTCAAGGAGAAAGTAACAGAATGAGTCAGTCAAACTGTGGGTTTAAGGGTCCAGAATTGATTTTATCTTGACTCCAGCTGACTAAGAAGCCTTCAGCAAGCCCCTTTCCTTCACTCAGCCCAGCTTTTACATCCTGTTCTATAAGAATTTTGCAACTGTTTCATCAGATAGAGAAAAGAGGACAAAAAAATTAAAAAGAAAGAGAGAAAAAATAAAAAAGGGCAAGGAAAAAGTACAGTGAAACTCAGTACTGGCAGTGTTGTGGATGAACACCTTAAGGCCCTTCAGTATGCCACACGATGGCACTGATAATAAATGCTGGTGTTTATCTGTGTTAGTATTTATGTCCTTATGAAGTTGGTATTTGTAGAATACCAACCCTGCCTCCATGGTTAACTGTTAGAAGCCGGCCCCTAGAATTAAACTTGTGTCCAGCACTGAAGTGGACATGGTATATCTCACCCATATCTCCTTGACCAGCTGGTATTGGCTCATAACCTAACACAGTTTCCCCTCCTCTGAAGAATTACCCTACCCAATGGGAATCCCTTACCAAGCAGGCTGCACACTCTTCACTCTCTTAGCTCCAGGACCGGCCTTGGCCATATCTAACTAGACTGGGGATGAAAATGGTGGTCTTGTGTCATGGCGGTCAGCTCTGAGGTGCAATGTGTGGGATCCAACTACAGCAAGTTTCCTGCTGAGATGCATCCTTCTCTGTCATTTCTCCCCTCTCCCACCTGCTCCCCTCACTCCTCCTCTCTTGGGAACTCTCCCTCAGTAAAGCACTTGAAGAGGAATCCCTCCGTCTCAGTCTCTGCTTCTAGGATACCCATCCCAAGAAGAGTATTTTCTAGTTATGAGTATTATAAATAAATTCTAGCAGCTGTAACAAATGCATCATCAAATTGAGTTTCCATGGTTTAATATAATAGATGTTTTACTTGCATCATAATCACTAGGCAGAGTATTGGAGGAGGGGGACAGTGCACTCTGTTTTAGTCAGAGACCCAAAGACTGAGACTCATGGAGGCTCTGTTGTCTTCCATGTGTCACTCTGAGCCTGTCTCGTCAGAGTCACCCTGATGTCAACATCTCTTCTCAAACACAGACTTAGAAGTAACAGGAGTCATTTCTGCCCACGTTCCACTGGTAGCAACTAGTCACAGGGTTCACCTAGAGGCAAAGAGAGCTGAAAAATGTGGTCCCAGGCCCTGGAAGGGAAGTATGGATCTTTGGTGGACAGGTATCTAGGCCAAACTGTGTGGCCTCAGGGAACTTTTTTAGTTCCTGTGGAGTTTGGTGTCTTCACCTATGAAATTAGGCTATTAATAGGGCCCTCTTGTAGCTGTGGTCATGCTTGAGTGAATATTTAGACCAGGTCCTGGAATAGAGTAAGGATCCATAATACTAACTGTCCTTATTGTTTGTGGACAACCTACTTTGGCTTATATGTAGATTTTAATCTTTACCACAACCCATGTAGTAACCATTGCATCTACTTTAGAGAAAAGAAATGTGAACAGAGAAAGGAAGTCATTTGTGGCAATAACCCATTGCCCAAAATCAAAGTCCAGAGTAGGGCCTGATAGTAAGCAAAGCTTTACAGCCCAAGGATAGTTAGACCTGTAGCTAAACAAACCCACTACAGCATTTGCCATTGTCACGAGATCCACAGGATGCCCAAGAATGTTGCCTTAATAATGTGCCTTGGCCCTGCATTGCCAGACCCAGCCAGCCATGCTGCTCATATCTGCTGTCACTCTCACACACGACAGTCCAGCCACCTGCCTTTTGTCTAGTCCTTGCATAAGCTAAGCTTGAGCCAAACACAAGGCACATGGGCTTCCCTCTGTCGGGAATGCTCTTCCTGCATGTCTGTCCACAGCTGCTTTTCAGTTTTCATTCTGCTCACAACCCAGACATCACCTTCTCAGGAAGGTCCTCATGATCCCCGCCAGCCCAGTCACTTACTGAATATCCTCTCTAGGGCATGCAGGAGATATAGACACTGTAGACGGTAAGAAAAACATGTTCCTACCTGGGTGACAAATATTAAATTTGTGAGCACAAACAAGAATATAATGCATATAGATGGCAGAAACAAATATGTAGATGCAAATTATACATTCACTTCTCTTTCTCTTCTGCTCTTGTTCTAGCCCTCCATCTCCTGCCTCTCTGAATGCTTTCATATATATCTGCATCCGGTGTCTGCAGTCACTGACAGAGAGCCCTTATTCTTTCTTGTCTCATGGCTGCCCAAGGTGATGGTTTGCATAGGCTTGGAAAGTTGAATGATAAATATGGAAGAATTTGGGGAACTGGTTGATGAACTTTTGGTAGCTTAAAATCAGATGTGTTGGGAGGATTTACACAACAAAAGTAAGTCAACACTTGTGGACATGGTTTTGTGAAAAGCTATTTTTCTGGTATATCATCTCTCCCATATCTTTGTGGCACAGACATTTTGCAATGTCAGGGAATATCCTAATTCTTCATAGATGTTGCTGCTGCCACCCCATTCATACGCCATACCTCCATTCCTTCCCAGGTGGAACTCCAGGGGCTCTGTTGTGCTGTGAGGAGACAGAAGAGAAGAGAAAGCTTGAAAATCACAAAAAAAGGGAATCAAAAAGCAATACATACAGGAAAAATAAAGAGAGAGCAAGCAATGGAGAGCCTGAGGGGAGCAGAAACTAGGGTAGAGAGAACCCAAGAAAAGCCACTCCAGACTGCACAATGTCCTCATAGGAAATTGGGCCACTTCCACTAGGGTTAGAGTTGGCTAGGATGGTCTGATATGAAGAAACTGTCCTCCCAAACTCCTCTGTGACAGGGTGGGGAAGGAGACCAACACAGCAGGAAGAAAGAGGCCTGGAGGTCTGACAGAGCAGGACTTCAGTGTTCAGATACTCCATTTCTAATTGTGAGGGCATCTAGGGACCTGGATTTCCCTATCTCAGGGAACGGGGCTGGCGCCTGCACTCCTCAGTCTGAGGGAGGAGGGATATCCAGATATCTAAGACTTCCAAACAGTAGCCACTCAGAGGGCGGAGCCTGACTGTACCTGGAGGGGGGCCGACTACACACCCTTTCCTAGGCTGCCTTGGCATTGTGAGGTATAAAAGGGCTGAATTTCCTGGTGAGATAGTCCCTAAGGGATTTCCAGCCACCACCTGGAAATGAGTCCCGCACCACTGCTGGCCTTCTTGGGGGTCACCTTCTTGCTGCCCGGTGAGTGAAGGCCCCATCTGGGAAGAGTATTTCCCTGGGCTAAAAGGAAAGCTGCTAAGATGTGTTTGCCCTCCCTATCACAGGTGTCCAGACACTGAACTGTCAGTGGGGTACAACAGAGATTGTGAGGAATGTATCACAGCTGCCCCTCACGTGGACATCTTCCCAGACAGCCTGTGAGATCAACGAAGGTTGCCAAGAAACGCTGTTACTTATAGAAAATGGTGAGAAGGGGTCCTCCTTGCCAAGACCTGTCTCCAGGATCAGTACTTCCCCTGGCACCCATAGTGAGAATTCTGGAGGCCCCTAATCCAGTAGGTACTGACCTTCTGGTGCATGTAGACTCCCCTCAAAATCTCACAGCTCACCATGCCAATCCGCCCTCTGGAACTCTACAGCCCAGATTCCAACCCAGCCTGCCAACCTCTGTCCTACCAGGACCCCAAGTGAGCCTGGTACTCACCAAGGGCTGCACTGCACAAAAGGACCAAGAGGCCAAAGTCACCGAG